GCAGGTTCGAGCACCGCTCAGTCTGTCGCTGTCGTTGTGTCCTTGGGCAAGACACTTAACCCACCTAGCCTGCTGGTGGTGGTCAGAGGGACCGGTGGTGCCTGTGCTCGGCAGCCTCGCCTTTGTCAGTGCGCCCCAGGAAAGCTGTAGCTACATCGTAGCTCATCCCCACCAGAGTGTGAATGGGTTAATGACTGTGTTGTAAAGCGCCTTGGGGGGTTCCAGGACTCTAGAATGTGCTATATCAAATACAGGCCATTTACCAATGCAAAGTTTAGTTACAACAATCTAAAGACAGAGCCTGGATTTGTATTGTGAACAGTTTAAACATGTTTTAAAAGGAGACGTGTGTTACGTGTCAAAATCAATCAATAACCAAATCACTAACAGGGTAAAAAATATCTAAATTTTGTCGGCACAGACGGGCTGAAACTTCTGGATCAAGTTTATACAAATTGTTTTATTAATTATCTTCCGTTGAAAGATAACTATGACGTACAGGAGCAACTGGTAGTGGTTGCTGTCACCTGTTGTGATCGGCTAAAGCAGCTCTTGGCTGTCTTAGGGTGGGCCACAACGCCATGGCTACTGCGGCTCCCACTGTTTTCTTTACTGTGGAAAACGGGTAATAATGGCTCTTTGATGGGAAAAGGTTGCTGACCCCTGCGCTGGAGGGACTATGTCTCTCAGCAGGGTAGGGTTGCCTTGGGCTTCCCCTGGAGGAGCTGGCCCAAGTAGGTTGCTGCCCCCACAACCCGACTCCAGACGACTTCCCCTTTTTAGGGGAAGATGGCGGCGCGCACGGGTGCGGCGGCTCTTAGCTCTCCAGTTTGGTGCTCGTTTTTATTTCGATTTTTATTGTGTATATATGTCTGTAACGCCGCCGTCGCTTACAGTCGCCAGAACCTAATTGACCTAGGTTTTAAATACAGTTTGCATGTTTCTGGCGAAAATCAGTGAATACACAACATCCTGGAGGAGATAGCGAGACCGCCGGGGTCATCGTGGGTGGTCTGCCCGCCCAGCAAGCGCAGAAGTCGACGGAGGGAGAGAAAGCAGAAGAGGGGATGCCGGTCTGGCTCTGATGCTAGGTTACGCAAACAACCACACCGGCCAGCACTTCCGAGCCTTTTCCTGTCGAACGCCAGATCCATCTGCTACAAACTGGACGAATTGGAGCTACACTTAGCAACCACGAGCTTTGCATGTAACTGCAGCATTATTATTATCACGGAGTCGTGGCTTCACCCGCTGATTCCCTACTCTGCAGTCGAGTTAGCAGGCCGCACGCTACACCGACACAACAGGAACAGCAACTCAGGCAAAAGCAGAGGAGGGGCTATGCGTTTACGTGCACAATGAGTGGTGTTGTAACAGCAGAATCATTCATACACACTGTTCTCCTGATTTGGAGGTTCTGGCTGTTTCGTGCAGACCTTTTTACATTCCGAGGGAGTTTGCAGTGGTTATTGTGATAGCTGTCTATATACCGCCGGATGTGGACGTGGGCACGGCTCTCAGCCTCTTGCTTAACACAATAAACAAACAACAGCTTGCCCACCCTGATGGGGTTTTTCATTGTCGCCGGCGACTTTAACAAAGAGTGCCTAAAGTCTGTGCTTCCTAAATTTGGCCAGTTTGTAGACTTTGCCACAAGGGGTGAACACACTTTGGACCGGGTCTATTCTAACATAAGGCATGCTTTCAGAGCGACACCCCTCCCCCACCTGGCTGGGTCTGACCACATTAGCATTTCCTTCACCCCCACCTACACTCCTCTGAGGAGAAAAACAAAGCTCCAGACAAAGACAATAAAAACCAGGCCAGAAGGAGCCCTCTCTCAACTGCAGGACTGCTTCTCATCTACTGTATGGGATATATTCTCCAGCCACAACCTCCAGGAGTACACGGACACTGTACTCTCGTACATCAGGAACTGTGTTGATAATGTCACCGTCAACAAAAGGGTAAGGGTGTTCCCAAATCAGAAACCCTGGATGAATAGCGAAGAGCAAGCCCTCCTGAAAAGTCGCAACACTGCCTTCAAGTCAGGGGACAAGGCTGCATATAGGGCGGCCAGGGCAGACCTGAGTAGAGGCATCAGGAAAGCTAAGGCTGCCCATAGGAGAAGGATTGAAGATCACTTTGCTGACAACGACCCCAGGAGGATGTGGCAGGGGATTAATCACATTACCAAGCACAGAAGCAATAACCTGGCGACATCTAGTTCTGATGCCTCGCGTGCTGAGGATCTAAATCGTTTCTTCGCTCGTTTTGAGACGTGCAGGCCCTCAGATGTAACTCCATCTACTCCCGCCCCCAGCACCGGCACACTAACACTTGGGGAGCATCAAGTGAGGTGTGTTCTAAGGTCGGTGAATCCCAGGAAGGCGGCAGGTCCTGATGGAATACATGGAAAGGTTCTCAGGGCATGTGCTGACGAACTGACCGGAGTCTTCACTAAAATCTTCAACCTTTCCTTGTCACTAAACACCGTCCCGCCCTGTCTCAAAACCTCCACCATCATCCTTGTCGCTAAAAAGTCAGCAGTGGTCGGCCCAAATGACTACAGGCCTGTTGCACTTACGCCTGTAGTGATGAAGTGCCTGGAGAGGCTGGTCTGTCAGTACATCAGGGGCAGTCTGCCTCCCACTTTGGACCCCCATCAATTTGCCTACAGGACAAATAGATCCACCAAGGACGCTATCACCATAGCGCTCCACACTGCACTGAGTCACCTGGAGCACAGAGGAAGCTATGCGAGAATGCTCTTTCTGGACTTCAGCTCAGCATTCAAATCACATAATCCCTGAGATCTTGGTCCAGAAAATTTCTCACCTGGGACTCTCCACCCCCATCTGCCTCTGGATTAAGGACTTTCTGACAAATAGATCACAGTCTGTCAGACTCGGGCCACACCAGTCCAGCACCATCACAATCAGCACCGGGGCTCCACAAGGATGTGTTTTGAGTCCACTACTGTTTACAATCTACACATCTGACTGCTCTCCTTTCCATCTCTCGAACACCATTATAAAGTTTGCGGATGATACCACCGTGGTCGGACTCATCTCGAAGGAGGATGAGACGGACTACAGAGATGAGGTCAACAGACTGACGGAGTGGTGTTCAGTAAATAACCTCCAACTGAACACCACGAAAACTAAAGAACTTATCTTCGACTTCAGGAAGGGCAGAGCAGACCCGGCCCCACTGTACATTCATGGGAACTGTGTGGAGAGGGTGCACTCCATGAGGTTTCTGGACGTGCAGATCTCTGACGATCTCTCCTGGACAGCAAATACCACGGCAGTGGTAAAAAAGGCCCAGCAGCGTCTCCACGTTCTGAGAGTGCTCAGGAGGAACAACCTGGAGGACAGGCTGCTGGTGACTTTCTACAGAGCCACCATAGAAAGCATCATAACGTACAGCATAACAGCATGGTACGCAGGGTGCTCAGCTGCAGACAGGAAAGTACTGCAGAGGGTCATCAACACAGCCCAGAAGATCACTGGCTGCTCTCTGTCCAGCCTGGAGGTCATTGCAAACTCTCGGTACCTCAGCATAGCAAGCAATATCATCAAGGACCGGTCTCACCCCAGCAATCACGTCTTTCAACTAGTACCATCTGGTCGACGGTACAGGTCACATAAAACCAGGTCAAACAGATTCAGGGATAGCTTCTTTCCCAGGGCGATCTCTATAGTGAATAAGCATAAAAACAATTAAAACTGCTTAGCGACTGTCAAGGTCACCGTCAACTATTATGCTGCTATTCTAATGCCATTTTTTACATGATACTGTAGCTGCTATTCGGTATATATTGTGCTATTCGGTATATATTGTACTTACTATTGTTTTGTTTTAGGGGACCTTTTATATTTAGAAGTATTATTGTATTGTGCACCAAGGGAGTGGCACTCCAATTTCGTTGTATCCTGTACAATGACAATAAAGGCTATTATTATTATTATTATTATTATTATTACTATTATTATTATTATTATTATTATTATTATTATTATAAGCTGATGGAAATAGATGGATGGGATGGAAATTGGTCTGCATGCTGGTGAAGGTTCTCAATCATCCAGGTCACGGTAATCCAAAGGGTTCAAATGAAGTAATAAAATGAAGTCAATATATAAAATATAAATAAATAAAACATAAAAAATAAGTAAAAATAAATAAAGTTTGAAGGCAGCTGGACTTCTTTGGTTTCTTGATGATGTTTTGCTTCTCATCCAAGGAGCTTTGTCTATTCTAACTGGAATATGGGAGAGGTAGGCTTATAAACTGTAGCTGTCTGTTGTTGTTGTTTAACCAGTAGAAACTACTCTGAGTACCCCTCCTCTTCATCCCCTCATGAGTGCTTGTGTTGATCAGATGCAGGAATGTGTGACCTAGACTGAAGCTGCTTAGGAATGAGACTCAAAGCTGCATTATACGTACTGGAAAGGTGAAATCTAAGCCCCGCCCCTATTTAAAGTAGGTTTTCACGTTTGACATAGATAGCTTCTTTTACTCTTCTCTCACACCATCTATCTTCTCTGATTCAAATAGCTCCACTGAAGAGGAGGAACATCAAACCGTTCTTGTTCCTGGGAAGCAACAGAACCTCTCACCGTGTCAGAACAGATGAGTCGTGGCCATCAGGAAGGTGACAAAAACATTCTGACAGAAGATTAAAAGTTTTGGAGACCGATGATTCAGAAATCAAAATCAAATCAAAATCAACTTTATTTATAGAGCGCTTTCACATGGCCAAAATGGACAAACAAAGCGCTGAAGAGAGCAGAAACGTCTGAAAATCAGTTTGTACACCCTATTCCTAACCCTGACTCCAGAAAGCAGATAGGTTTTTATTTTGGACTTATTTAACATGCACTTATTGTTTGATGTGAGAACATCTGAGAACTTCCAAATTCTTATAAACGAGTTAATATTAAGATCTTCATCTTGTTGGATGAGTTCTACGCAGACTGATTAAACAAGTTTACCTGTGGAAGTTTGATCCAGTTGAAGGACTTCAGTGGGTTAGATGGTTGAGGAATGTTCTTCATCTTCTCTGATGTTCCTAACGGAGCTCCTGGGGGAGGGGGAGGAGGTGGAGGAGGAGGATGAGGGGCTAATGAAGCCATTCCAGAGGCTGGGGGACCTCCTGGGGAAGGTGGAGGTGGCTTAGTGGATGAGGTGGGAACTTGAGGAACATAACTAGCAGAGGTCACTGGAGGTCCTCCTGGAACAATGGAGGTCTATCAGAAGAGAGAATAAAAGCCTGTATTTATATATCGCCTAGACTTCCACATTCACCCAAGATAATTTACAACACATCATTCATTCTCACACTGATGGTGATGAACAATGAACCGGTCCCTCCGACCACTACCAGAATAAGTTCTTCATTTCTATTTCATCTAGTCTTAGCCCTTATGCTAGCTGCTTTTGGAAGGGTGATCTCAGTTTCAACCAACTATGAAGAGCTTACATGTCCGCCCGCCAATCCACAGGCAACCTTTGGGTATATAAGTGGAGTGACTTCACTGTCCGTCTCCTGTTATTTCTTCAAACCAAGCTAAAGAGTTAATCCTTCAATAAAGAGCAAGAGAGTTCAAGATGGTGCTTGTGCTGGTGCACGCAGCGAGCTGCTCGTCCTCTTCAAGCAATGGAACCTTGTGTTTTATTTTCTTTTATGCACTTTTGTTGTTTCTGATGCCTTTTATGAACGGTGTGGCTTCTCTGGTAACTTATGATCGAGCTGCGCTGCCGAGGCTTCGTCCTCCTGCTGATGCAGCGGGCGCTGCATGCGTGAGAACTGGAACATGGTCAATCGAGTTACCAGAAATAGCTGCTCTAATGCCCGATACTTTGTGAACAAAGAATCTGTGAAAATCTTCAGAGTTTCCAGCAGCTGTAGGAGACATGGAGCTAGGCTCCTGATACACCAGAACAGAGTTTAGTGTTTTATAGAGAATCCTGGGATTCTTGGAGTTTGTTTCAATGATGTCTGCAAAATAGGCCGTTCTAGCAGCCCTCACAGCATCCTGATAAGCAACCAGAGATGCTCTGAACAACTCACGTGAGACCTGTAGGCCATCCTTTTTCCACTTTCTCTCAGAGGATCTACACGCCCGCCTGCAAGCCCGTGTGACATCAGAGAGCCAAGGCTCCATCCTTGGCCGAGACTTGCAAAGCTTGAGAGGGGCAACCATGTCCAGGACCTGATTACAAAGTACATCAAAGTGTTGTGAATAGTGATCAACGTTAGATGGATCAGGTTAAAGGTCTCTAACCTTACAGACATACAGTCCACAAACTTTGCAATAGTTTCTGCATCCAGGGCTCTGAACCTAGTAGCTGGAGCTTCACACACAGGGACAGGACATGGCAACGTAACATCACAGAGTATAGGAGAGTGGTCAGAGAACACAGGAGGCAAAGTCACAAGGTTCATGACGGGGAGTGTTTTACCTAGGGATGGGTACCTTTGACGTTTGAATCGAAATGGTACCAATTCCCGGTACCTACGAATCGATACCGGTACTTAACGGTACCAATTTTTGATACTGTTGAGTGTTGAATAATTATTTAAATTGCTTTTCTAATTAAATATAAATTATTTTCCCAATATATGACCATATTTGATGAATATCAACTGTTTGTATGTTATCATTGTAGTGTTTAACAAAATTCTTCAACATGAAAACCTTCAACAACAGTTTCTAAATGAGGCAAAAACAAACCCAGCTCCATTTACTCCTAATCCTCTTCTAATCCCTCTGGAATAACTCTAATGAGGAGACCGTGTGTTATAAACTACAAATGAAACTAAACAAACTTTGGTACCATACAACAGTTTGTATTTTAATATTGTGGTGTTTTAGAGCTGAAACAACTAATCGATTTAATCGATTATAATCGATTATTAAAATAGTTAACAACTTTTTTAGTCATCGATTAGTTGTTTAATAATCATATTTTACCGCATAAAGTCTATTTTTTACCACAATCTGACATCGGTTACAATCTGTTAAATTTGCCGCCAGTGTGTGGCAGTAATGAGCCACTGATCTACCAGTGGGACCGTAGAAGAAGAAATTAGCCAATAAGTGCCCTCGGTTTTCATGACGTATCACGTTACTGACGCGCATCTTGCTGTGAGAGATGGCGGATCAACAACAAATACGGAAGAAAAATAGAAGCGACAAAACAAGAGAAACCCCGGACAAAAACCTCACGAGTATGGGAGCACTTCACTAGATGCCTTGAAAAGACCGGTGACCTACAAAATATGCAAAAACCATGGCACGACGGAAGCACGACGTCCCTAAGTGAACATTTGAGACGAAAACGTGGGGGCTGATGCAGCAGAGGAATGTCCGGTAAGTAACAGAAAATAAACAAGCTAACGCAGATCACATTTGGGACTTAGTGTTAGCTGAGTTTGTTATAGTGGATGTTAAACATGTTTTTTTTTTTTGCCGCGTCAGTTTACGGTGTTCTACTTCTGATTGACTAGATGCAATCGTGAATCTCCTCCGTGTTGTGAATCATGCGCTTGCCAAATTTAGCACGTCTGTTTATAAGAATGTTCTCGTTAAGAGAAAAACGGCACAAACCCATAACTGTGTTCCTCATTCAAAAAAGGACAACTACGCGGAGAAAAATATACAGACGAGCTGTGTCCAGGTGAATATAACGCGGCATAGTTGTACGCTTTCAATTTTTAAATACAGGAGAAATTCAGAAAGTCCTTTTTTAACTATTAAAAGGCTGTTTTACTATCTAACGCTGTAAAACGCCTCACAACACATTTTTGTTAAAATAAATGATCACTGTATATTGTTAATTAATTCAAATAATGTAATATTGATTTAGTGTTGTAGTGTGTGTGCTGCTTTATTTTATATGTGTACTTAATTCAGTTTATTTGTGTTTCTTATGCAGAAAAAAACAAGCAACGATGGACAACTACATGGGGAACAAGACACTCACCCCCAGCAATGCATACCACTTACAAACTCTATTCCAGATTCTACATTATTTTTTATGGAATTTACCTCTTATATTTTGATGCCAAAAAATTATTCTGGACTGATATTTTGCACTGTTTAGCTCATTTTACACTGCTGACTGTGGTCATGTGCAATAAAATAGATTGCAGTCAACTGCACAATTCTCTTATGTTTTTTCTTTTTCTTAACTGAAATGTATTCATCACTTGTATAGGTTAAATAGCTAAACAATAACAAACCGATTAATCGATTAATCGAAAAAATAATCGACAGATTAATCGATTATGAAAATAATCGTTAGTTGCAGCCCTAGGTGTTTCACTAACTAAACCAGCTCCATGTACTCCTGTTCCTCTCCTTCTCCTCTGGACCAACTGTGTGATGGTGGGTCCTTGTAGTTTATAAACTGTGTGATGGTGGGTCCTTGTAGTTTATAAACTGTGTGATGGTGGGTCCTTGTAGTTTATAAACTGTGTGATGGTGGGTCCTTGTAGTTTATAAACTGTGTGATGGTGGGTCCTTGTCGTTTATAAACTGTGTGATGGTGGGTCCTTGTCGTTTATAAACTGTGTGAAGGTGGGTCCTTGTAGTTTTGTAAACTGTGTGATGGTGGGTCCTTGTAGTTTTATAAACTGTGTGATGGTGGGTCCTTGTAGTTTTGTAAACTGTGTGATGGTGGGTCCTTGTAGTTTATAAACTGTGTGATGGTGGGTCCTTGTCGTTTATAAACTGTGTGATGGTGGGTCCTTGTAGTTTTATAAACTGTGTGAAGGTGGGTCCTTGTAGTTTTATAAACTGTGTGAAGGTGGGTCCTTGTAGTTTTATAAACTGTGTGATGGTGGGTCCTTGTAGTTTATAAACTGTGTGATGGTGGGTTCTTGTAGTTTTATAAAAGGTGTGGTGGTGGGTCCTTGTAGTTTTATAAACTGTGTGATGGTGGGTCCTTGTAGTTTATAAACTGTGTGACGGTGGGTTCTTGTAGTTTTATAAACGGTGTAGTGGTGGGTCCTTGTAGTTTTATAAACTGTGTGATGGTGGGTCCTTGTAGTTTTATAAACTGTGTGAAGATGGGTCCTTGTAGTTTATAAACTGTGTGATGGTAGGTCCTTGTCGTTTATAAACTGTGTGATGGTGGGTCCTTGTAGTTTATAAACTGTGTGATGGTGGGTTCTTGTAGTTTTATAAACTGTGTGATGGTGGGTCCTTGTAGTTTATAAACTGTGTGACGGTGGGTTCTTGTAGTTTTATAAACGGTGTGGTGGTGGGTCCTTGTAGTTTTATAAACTGTGTGATGGTGGGTCCTTGTAGTTTTATAAACTGTGTGAAGATGGGTCCTTGTAGTTTATAAACTGTGTGATGGTAGGTCCTTGTCGTTTATAAACTGTGTGATGGTGGGTCCTTGTAGTTTTATAAACTGTGTGATGGTGGGTCCTTGTAGTTTATAAACTTTGTGGTGGTGGGTCCTTGTAGTTTTATAAACTGTGTGAAGGTGGGTCCTTGTAGTTTATAAACTGTGTGATGGTAGGTCCTTGTCGTTTATAAACTGTGTGATGGTGGGTCCTTGTAGTTTTATAAACTGTGTGATGGTGGGTCCTTGTAATTTATAAACTGTGTGATGGTGGGTCCTTGTGGTTTATATTTTATATATTTATATTCAGCTCTCAAAGATCAACATGATCAACATGTTGTTAATAATTCTTGGAGAGAAATAGCTCGCACTGTCGGAAAAGATGAGGACGCTGTTAAAAAATGCTGGAATGCCATGTTGTAAACAACAGGAATTTTTACTTCTACTATGGTGTAGTGTTGGATGCATGCCGTAGAGCTCCATGTTGCCCCCTACAGTTTGGGGGAATATTGGCTCACCGCAGAGACAAGCCGCATGAACCATAAACGCTGCAAGTTGTGATGCGCGTTCCATCCACGAGCCGCATCACCAAGCGCAAAGTAAATGCCTCAAGCATAAACCAAGCTTTACTCTCCTGCTTAGACTCTATCAGAACCTGGATGGTGGGAGCTTTCTTCAGCTGAATGAAGATAAGCCTGAGATCCTCATCTGTGCCCCAGACAAGCTGGTTCCCAAAGTCAGAGACTCTCTTGGTCAGCTTGCTTCTCACACCAAACCTTCTGTCAGGAATCTTGGCGTGACCTTTGACCCAGCTCTCACCCTGGATTCTCATGTCAGTTCTCTTGTTCACTCTTCCTTCTTCCATCTCAGGAACGTTGCTAAGCTGAGTCCCATTCTGTCCCGCTCTGAACTTGAGACAGTTCTCCACACCTTCATCTCCTCACGCTTAGACTACTGTAACTCTCTTTTCACGTGTCTGAGCAGAACCTCCCTGAACCGTCTACAGGTGGTTCAGAACGCCTGTGCTCGGCTTCTGACCAAGTCCTCCAAACACACCCACATCACCCCGCTTCTCCTCCAGCTTCACTGGCTGCCAGTCAACTTCAGGGTTCATTTCAAGATCCTGGTTCTGGTCTATAGGGCCTTACATGGACAAGCACCATCTTACATTGGTGATCTTCTTAGTCCCTACACCCCCAGCAGGTCCCTGAGGTCCAGTGATCAAAGCCTACTGGTTGTTTAGCGCCAGGCTAAAGGTCAAAGGTGACAGATCATCTGCTGCTGTGGCCCCCAGACTCTGGACCTCTCTCCCCCTGAGCCTGAGATCAGTGGACTCAGTGGTCTCCTTTAAAAAGCAGCTGAAGACTCACTTGTTCAAGCTGGTTTTTGTATGACCTTCTTCACCTCTCTCTCTTTATTCTGCTCTCCCCACCTATTCCACCTTCCTCAGAATCCATTGGTTTCTTTCCTGTTCACTCTCTCTCTTTCTTAACATTTTTTAATCACAATTGTCTATTTTTTGCTCATTTTAAATTTATTTTTAACCATTTTCGAAATTGTTTTTTATATTTTTTACATTTTTTGTTTTTGTGAAGCACCTCGTGATTTTTATCTTGAGAGGCGCTTTAGAAATGATATTTTCTTCTTCTTCTTCTCATCAGGAATGGAGCCTCCTGAGAAACTCAGAGCTCACTCAGCCAGAGGTATTTCTTCTTCTATGGTGCAACACAGCATTGTGTCAATGGAAGACATTTGCCTAGCTGCTTCACGGGCATCCCCTGTCTTCATTTACTTATTACTTAAGACATGTTTCTTCAGGATCCTCATTCTGTGCTTGGACCCCAACAGGCTGAGTGAAGACATTAAAGCGATGTCTGTGCCCTACTGCACTGAACACATTGTCCAGACTGACATGTTAATAATCACGTTCCATTTCGATCATCAGCCCTCCTTTTCACCTCTCAGGCTCCTTATTTTTCTTATCACCCCTCATGGAATGAGCTGGTGATTACAGTAATGGATCATTAAAATTCACTTCCCCTCAAGGTCACCAGGTTGACTACTATTCCCTTGGTGGAACACAGTAGTGGCCCCACTTTTCTCTAAGCCACATCTAAGCCATATTAAGGCAGAGTGGGTGCCTTCTAACAAGAAGGGAAAATGTTTGGTTTGCCCATTTGTTCGAGCTAAACTGTGTGGCGTAAACTCACCAAGCTGCCCATTATTCCAATAGCAGCTAGCTTAAGGGTTAAGATTAGATGAAATAGAACGTTGGTTACATTATGTAACTCCAGATTCTACGAGTCTAGTCGCAGCCCTTAAGTCAATGTCCCCGCTGGTTCTGACAGGACAAAGAGCCATAGGAGACGGACAGTGGAGTCACTCCACTTATACTCCCATAGGGTGCCCGCGGATTGGCAGGCGTGCATTTAAGGTCTTCACGATTGGCTGATAATTGAGATCACCCAGACTCGTAGAATATGGGTTTACAATACATAACCAATGTTGTTTCATAAGGAAGTAACAAAAAATCAGCCATCTCACAGATGTCTCACAAATGTCTCAGAGATGTCTCACAGCGCTGGACAGAAAGAGTTTTAGATGGGTGAACTTACGGAGCTGAGCTGCTGCAGGCGTGCAGACAGTTCTTCTACCTGTTTTTTAGCTTGCTTCAGCTCGCTGCTTTCTCGTTCCAGTTTGTCTTTCATCTTGTTTAATGTCTCCATCACATCTTCCTTCTCTTTATTTTTGGCTTCACACTCCCTCTCTTTCCTTTCCAAACGTTGTTGAAGGTTTTGATGATCTGAGAGGACGAGAAGTGACCTGAGTTTAGCAGAATCAGACCAGAACCCTAACTGTTGTAGATGAGCCTTAACTGAATTTGTTAAAACTTTACTAATGTTGTAATGTCTTTATTTTAAATGAGAATAAAAAATATGTTCAATGTTAAAAAATGCTAGTTTGTGAATGTACCTTTTCTCATTTCAGCAGCTTCTTCTTTCCATTTTTTCAACTCATTTTCTTTAACCAGCCTAAAACACACACATGACTATAGTTTAGGGTGTGTCCAGGTGAAAAAGGTCATCTGAGGTTTTGAATGTTAAACAATGAAATCCTGAGAGTTGTTGATCTTTTTATTCCAAAAAGAAATTGTAAATGTCCAATAATTGTTTAACACCTTCCAGAGACCTGCAAACCCCCAAGGTGCATTACTAAACATCCAGTCATTCATACACTCTGCCACTGTCGCTCAAAAAGAAAATATCTCTCAGAAAGTTAAAGCAGCTTTCTCACCGTTGATACTTAATACAGAGAATTTTTAAAAAACCTCTAAGGTTTGAACCAGATCTCAAACAGGAAGTGGTTGCTGTTAGCCATCACAAATCTGAAGCCAGCACTTTCTGCATCACTGGAAAATTGATCATTGAACTTACATGCGCAGAATATTTTTGACATTGAAGTCGTTCAGAGGAGTAACGTCAGGGTCATCACCTTTGTCTGTCTGCAGAACCAGCTGCTGAACAATCCGGTCCAACAACAACCAGTACTGCAGTGTGGTCCTACGCTGTTTGTCTGAGACAAAATCAGTCAGCAATCTGATTTTCATAGAAGAAGAAGAGTGATGATGGAGGTGGTGTCTTACAGGGTATCATGAGACAGTGATGCAGGACAGACAGCAGGTGAGAGTACGCTTCAGTATGGTTCACTCTCTTCCTGATGAGATCAAACATCTGGCTTGCACTTTTAGAGTCCACATGGACCTGAAGCAGCACATCGGTAAACATCAGATCAACAAAAGACATCAGACTGGATTCAGCTCAAACATGGATGCTGGATGTCACCATCACTTAGGAAATGAAACAGTTGATTTACATTTTCACTTGAATTTGAACATAAATTCTATCAAAACTGAGATATAAAATGTTCTTACAACATCAAAGCGTGCAGACATCTGATGTTCATCTTCACTTCTCAACATCTCAAAGAAGTCCAAATGCCTGAAATACAACAATTTAAAGCCAAAGCACCAACTATTTAAAGTGTAAAAGAGAAACAACAGGTGTACCTGTCCAGGGTGGCATTTTCATGGCACCGCATTTTGTCAATGATTGGTTGAATGCCTAACATCAGTAGTTCATAGCGTAAATGGACCCGAAACTCCAGACTGTTCTGAAAGCAGATTCACGAAGATAAAAAAAGTAATCGATCAGCTGCTCATTGGTTTGAACTGTTAGAAGTTTACCTTTCCAGCTCCCTGGCTGAGTAAAGCATTAATGAAGGACATGGTGGCCGTTTTCAAGCTGACTTCCTCTCTGTAACGGCCGGTGGATCGGTCCAAATCTCTTAGCAGGTTCTGCACACAGAATACAAACAAAAAAGCCATAGAACATGTTTCCTTGTGGTGTTTACCGTATGTTTAGGAACCATTTCTCTATTTTGAAATAGAATATGAATTATAAATGTATCTACTTTGAAAGTCTTTTACTTTCATGTTCTTAGTTGGATTACCTTTTAAAATGAGAAGATTCAAATGATTAGCTTCAGATCAAGTTTGATGCTTTTGTTCATTGCTCATGTTTTCTGCTTTCTAGGAAATAAGATCACATATTTCTACTTGCACAGAAAAAGTAAAATGTTCCAGGGATTGGACAAACTCCAAACCACTGTGTTGTGTTTTGTTGTTTTGAAGTAACTTTAATGGACAAATGGGGGCCCAGAAGAACAGTCACATTCTCACTCCCCTTCTGTGGTTTTATGGCCGTCGTTACGGACCAGTACCAGAGGCCTCTGAGATGGCAAGTAAGTTGACAAGTAGATAAATACATTGTCATATCTGGTGTTAGCACTCTTGTGTTTTTTACTGGCAGGAGCACTTACTACACTTATTACGGTAACATTTTCCGGTACTGGTGGAAGTGCAGTTGTTTGCTGTCTTGCTGTTATAGTTGTGAACAACTCATTAAAGGTAGTAAAACATCACCATTGACTCTTTAATCACGTCACACACACATTTCACGGTAATGTCTAGTTGTTGGGAATTGTAGCTAGAGATATTTTTAGAACAGACACTTTGCTTCTAATTCAATGTCAGCATTGTTATCTGCCTCACCTGACAGACTAAAACTAAAAGAAGACGTGGCTTCTTAGGGGCACAAGAAATAACTTCTAGGTCAGTCTGATTACTGGTTTAGGTTCTTTTAACAAGTCTTGAGTTTTTGCTTGCTGTTGCTTAATTAGAAATCCAGGCACAGCAGTTAGCTCGCCGGAGACACCGCAACCTCACAAACTCACTGATATAAACAGTAACGTCATTGCTCTTTCCTGTTTTTGAAAGGAGAAAAACTGAAAAATAAAGCCCATCCAGCCGAGAGAGAAATGGGTCATAGAAGAATTCTTACGTATTACTTTATGTATTGAGTACATATTCCCTTGGCTTTTATTGTTAGGGTAGAACAACTGCCTGTGACAGCTAGGGATAATCATGCTAATAATAAAGCAACATTAATATCACAATGGTCAGCTTTTAGTGATGAAGATCGATTGGCCTATTGTAAAACTGTATTAGTGACAAATATCTAAACAGCATTTCTGTGGATAAAGGTGCCATTCTGTGCAAAGATGGCAAACGTGAGAACTCGGAGCATTGGTGTACAAGAATATAGTGCCGGCTGTATCTGGAAGTACACTCAACAAATATATAAACGCAACACCTTTGTTTCTGCTCCGATTTTTCATGAGATGGACTTAAAGATCTAAGATTCATTCCAGATACACAATATTACCATTTCTCTCAAACATTGTTCACAAATCAGTCTAGATGTGTGATAGTGAGCACCTGTGCTTTGCTGAGATAATCCATCCCACCTCACAGGTGTGCCACATCAAGATGCTGATCCGACATCATGAGTAGTGCACAAGTGTATATATATATATATATATATATATATATATATATATATATATATATATATATATATCCACACCTTCATTAACCCTCTCAGGCTCAAACTAAGTTTTGATAAAAGGACAAACATCTAAGTCCTTCAGGGGTACTTCTGAGTTAAAAATGCTCATGAAATACATATGTGGAGTAACCAGGCAGGTAGGTTTTAACGTTGCTAATCTGCAACGCCTGCCTCCAGAGGGTTAACACTGCGTACTAGATGCAGTTGTACACTATCATGTGTTCTGGAACTGGGTAGAGTCTCATCTTGATTAAATGAAGGAGGTGAAATCTGGACCTTTTAAAGAAAAACAATAGACTTCCTGCTGTGGCTTTGGTGATGTCAGCAAATGAACATGTGAATGTTTTCAGGTCTGATCTGTGATGATACCCATGAAATTTGCTCTGATCATGCATGTAGAAGTTATAAAACCAAGGAATTTCATGGTGTCAAGTCAATATTTGAAGCTTAGCCACGCCCACACTGTTAGACTTTTGAAAACCCTAAAGGTTCAGTTCTTTCCCCTATATCGTAAGAGTATACACTAACCTAAAGGATTATTAGGATCATCGTACTAATACAGTGTTTGACCCCCTTTTTTATTTTATTTTTATTTATTTATTGAGAACCTCATTAGCTCACACCATAGTGTGGAGCTATTCTTCCTGAGGTCTCTTTCAATTTCATTACAAATATTGAACAAAACACCCCCATCCCCATCCCCACACACACACACACCCAGCAACAACAAACTCCAGGAGCTCATTATAATCGTACCACCTCAATTGCTATAATAATATACCAATAAGTTACCACACACTTCAGAGTTCATGAAAAATCTAAATAGGTGAAAACGGAGAGTTTACACAGAGCAATAAATAACTATATTCAAGAATCAAAAATCATATCGCATCACATCCATAACAAACAAAAATTATAGAAGCTGTCATATCAGTCACATTTACAATTCACTGTGCAAAATTTACTGTTGTGTGAACAAGAAAAGCTTTAACTTCTTATGAAAACATCTTCTGTTGTTCTCTAATAACACACATCTAGGTATGGCATTCCATGCAGCCATGGCTCTGTAATAAACCGCTCTTTGCCTTTGATTAGTTCTGCAGCGCGGTAACGCGCACCTTATGTCACTTGTCTGTCTCGTCGTGTAATCATGATTGTCTGAAAAAAATGATAATTTGTCATAAATTATTTTAGGTATTTTTGTAGTTATTATATTTCTTATAAATGTGATCAGTGAATATTTTAATCTACATTTCACTGTTAACCAGGCCAACCTATCGTGCATTATACTTACATTTGTTCATAATTACAACCCAGAACAATTCGTGCAGCTTTATTTTGTGCCACTTGTAACTTATATAAATTCATTTCACTTGTATTAGACCAAATAACTGATGCATAATCTAAACGAGACAGTACTAATGTTTGAACTAAAGTTTTTATCTGCAAACGAGGAATAAATTTACAACAATATTTGATCGTGCCCATACTTCTTCCAAGTTTCAGCAGGACATGATTTATGTGACTAGTCCATGACAATCTAGAATCCACAATTACCCCCAACAGTCTTGCTTCTTCTACCTGCTCTATCGCTATGTTACCTAGCTTCAAATGCAGTCTAGGTGTCATCTGTAGTGTATATGTATTCCCCACTATCATGCATTTAGTTTTTTCTGCATTGATTTCTAGTTTGTTCATTCTAAACCATTGTGTAACTACATCCAACTCCTTTTTTAAAATATCATTTAATTGGCCTTCTGTTTGTGCTGATGCAAATAATGTTGTGTCATCTGCATATATAGCCATGGTTGCATGTTTTAAAATCAAAGGTAAGTCATTAATAAAAATAGAAAACAAAAGAGGGCCCAAACAACTGCCCTGTGGCACTCCACAATCTAACTGACCTGTTTCAGAATAACTGCCATTAAAATAGAAGTTGAATTTGCGATTCGTTAAATAACTTTCTGTCCACTTAATGGCGGACGACTGAAATCTATAACGTTCTAATTTTTTAAATAAGATTTTATGATCAATCACATCAAAAGCTGCACTCAAATCTAAAAATATAGTACCAACTAACTTTTTATCATCTATTTCTTCTAACCAATGATCAGTAATCTGAGCAAGTGCAGTAGTAGTGGAGTGACCCGCCTTATATGCATGTTGATAAATTGTGTTTAATCTATTTGTTATAAAATACTCTTGTATTTGTTCATATGCTACTCTTTCCAAAAGTTTGCTTAATGCTGGTAGCAAACTTATTGGCCGACTATTTTTACCAGACAGTGGTTCTCGGTTATTTTTGATTAATGGAATTACTTTAGCCTTTTTCCATTGGGCTGGAAAAATACTTTGATTAAAACTTATGTTAATAATATGTGAAACTGGCAGTAAAATAAAATCTGCCACCAATTTTAGCAATCTTATATCAATATCATCCATTCCAGGGGGTTTATCTTTACTATTTAAGATAAATTTTTTTATGCAATCCTCTGATACCTCCATAAACTTAAACTCACAATCTTTCATTTGCATGATATCGTCCTTAATTCTTTGATAAGATGTATTTTCTTCTTTTCTCTCCTCCCTGGTATTATTCAATGTTTTAATTTTATTGATAAAAAACAGTTTTAAATAATCAGCTATTTCTTTTGGTTTGGTTAAAAAAACTCCACCTGCCTCTAGAAGAGTAGGTGCCTTCCTCTTTGTAACCCCCATAAGTTCATTTAATGTACCCCACACCTTTGCATGATCTAATTTAGCTTCTATGATTCTTCTATGATAATATATTTGTTTTTTGTTTTTATTCAGTTTGGTTACAATTTTCCGTATTTTGCGATATTCGCACCATGTTTCCAATTGATTTGTTTTTATTGCTTCTAATTTTAATTTGTCCCTCTGCCTCATACGTTCCTTCAGTTCTGTATCCAGCCATGGAGAAGCTACATTTCTTACTGCCTGTTTCCTCATCGGTGCATGTTTATTCATCACCTTTGTTAACAAATTATCATTGATGTCTACAGCTTTACCCGGATCCTGCTCCTTTGTTACATCTTTCCAATGTATGTTTCTTATTTCTTCTACAAAATCACTCTCTTTAAAGTTTTTAAAGATTCTTTTATATATAAAGTGTTGACCTTTTGGCACCTTGACTTTTCTTTTAATAGCAGCCAAATTATGGTCACTGCATCCAACTGGAACAGAAATTGCCTCAGAACATAATTCAGCCATATTAGTAAAAATTAAATCAATACACGTTTTAGAGCAGACACCATTATTTTTAACCTGCACTCTTGTGAAATCTTTTACAACTTGTGACAAATTAAAAGTATTAGCAAATGAGGTTAATTTGCTCTTTAATGAGCAATTTCTTGATTTCCAATCAATG